ATGGTCACGCCGCAATCCCTTCTCCTCCATTCTCCTCTCGGGATCTTGGGCACGCACGCACACGTCCCCGGCGTGAGTTTTTTTAAGCCACCGGGTCCAGGACACGAACCACGGTTGACTACGTGGGAGTCCAGCGACATAGCCATTACGCTAACTGCTGGTTCCCCAGATATTTATTTTTGATATTACATTAGGACTTTTTCTAGTTAGGCACTGAAGTTAATCAGCAACCAGACGTGGTCTCTGCTTAAAGGAATTCACTGTCTAATAGTAACAGTTCTTTGAGAAACATGGCATCTTTTCCTTATAACAAGGTCCATTAAAAAAGTGGAAAAGGCTGTTGGTAAGGAAGTATTGGTGCTGAAGTTTTGACTAATTCCTGTGAGGACAGACTTCATGTCTGTTTTCTTTACCGTAAGATTCCCAGTGCATTCTATTGAATACACTGTCCGGCACAGAGTAGTAATTCAGTACATGTTTACTGGAGAAATTAATGAATATACAGAGCCAAAGATAGAATATATGGCTGAGAGGTGGATCAGTTTAAACCATAATATATATTGCTAATACATAGGTAACATTAATTTGCACTTATTTTGTGCCAGTACTGGGGTAAGTACTTTACATGTATTGACTCTTTTCATCTTTATGTTGTCATCCCTGTTTTTTTTTTTTTTTTTTTTTCCTTCACAGATAGGGAGACTGAAGCACTGAAAATTTAAGTTATTTGGCCTTAGTTAGTGTAGAACTGGGATTTGAACCTGGCAGACTAGCTCCTAAACCTGTTCTCTTTCACCACTCTCAAGGGTTGGTGGTAGTGTGGAAACTGTATTATCAGGTTGACCTGAATGATTTTACACCCACACATACATACACACACACACACACACGTCCTAGAACTGTACAGGAAAAATCTTTGATGGTAGAACCGTCATTTAACAAATCTAATTGCTTTTTATGCACATTTAATGAGTAAATGATCTTCGTGGGGGTAAGATATAAATATTTCTTTGAACTCAGTGTATCTTCCTGAATCTGTATATCTTTGAGAAACTGATACATAATAAACAAACCAGAATATAAACTTAGCAAGTAAACTTGCTGAAGAGTAGAATGTAAGCAATACAGTG